CCACAGGCGCCTGCCACAATGCCCGGCTGTTTTTTGGTTGCAGCCATCGTTGTTATTTGGCGGGCCGGGCTGGATTCAAACCCACCACCTTAGGTGTATGTGGCTGGCGCCTTAGCCACTTGAGCCACAGGTGCTGAGCCCATCCCTGTATTTTCATAAATTTAACATGTTTTAGTGTATTGTGATATGAAGTTTATTTGTAAATATTTAATAAAACCAATGTATAATTTGAGTGGTGCTGTGGCATAAGTTACCTAAGGTTTCTGTCTGTGACAGTTGGTAGTGGCTAAATTACAGTGATCCTCAGAGTACAGAAAGATGTTAGAAGTATTCTTCATTTTACAAATATAACAAATTTTATTTTTTCTTACATTCCTTACCCCCATATTGTCATATACTCTCTCCTTTCTCTACCTGTGCATATTGCCAGCTGTCCTGATATTCTGTTATCTATTAGTCCAGGTTCTTCTTTCCTGCTTCCTCACAGTTCCCAAGGTTACATATTTGTAGTGATGCTTGTCACATGGTCTGGATGTAATCGAATACTAACGAGTAGGGGGTCAAGGGCTGCTGTAAACATTCAATATCCAAAGGTTAGGGTTAAAAATAAAAGAGAGCTCAGCTATCACTTTGGAATAGAAAACTGGCCTAACAAAAACTGCCTGAGGTCCTTAAGTGAGGAACTGAGATGGCAAGGTATTACATTTGGGCCAGGGTGGCTCATACCTGTAACCCTTTGGGAGGTCAAGGCAGGAGGAGCACTTAAAGCCAGGAGTTCAAGACCAGCCTAAGCAATACCAAGACTCAATACCTACAAAAAATAATTTTAAAAAAGTTAGCCTGGTGAGGTGGCACAAACCTGTAGTCCCAGCCAGTTGGGAGGCTGAAGCAGAATGGCTTGAGCCCAGGAGTTGGAGGTTACATGAACTATGATCGAGCCACTTTACACTCCAGCCTGGATGATACAGCAAGACTGTCTCAATAAAAACAAAACAAAACAAAACCCAGGCAGGTGCAGTGGCTCGTACCTGTAATCCCATCACTCTGGAGGCTGAGACAGGTGTATCACTTGAGCTCACAAGTTCGAGACCAGTGTGAGCTAGAGTGACCCCCACACCCCCCACTAAAACATAGAAATACTAGACAGGTGTTGAGGAGGGTGCCTGTAGTCCCAGCTACTTGGGAGGCTGAGGCAAGAAGATTGCTTGAGCCCAAGAGTTTGAGGTTTCTGTGAGCTTTGATGCCACAACATTCTACCAGGGGCAAGAAAGTGAGACTGTCTGGGGGGAATAAAAAAGAAAACCTAAATTAAAAATAATTATTTGGTAATGGGCTGGAGATAGGTTTCTACCAGTCAAAGTTACAGTGCTGAGTACTACACCTAACCTTTTTAACCCAGCAAGCAAATACATGTAAGTGTGTGTGTGTGTGTGTATGTAATGTATATACAGGCATATTTATTTTTAAACTTCTCATTATGTGGTATTTTATAGGTATTTACAGTTGAAGAAATGATGCCACATGTCCAGCATTTGAAAGGAGCACATAGTAAGAACTTATTTCTCAAAGATAAGAAGAAAAAAAGCTATTGGTTGGTGACGGTTCTTCATGACAGACAAATCAATCTAAATGAGCTTGCCAAGCAGTTAGGTGTTGGGAGTGGAAATCTTCGGTTTGCTGATGAAAAATCCATGCTAGAAAAACTAAAAGTTGGTCAAGGCTGTGCCACACCCTTGGCACTCTTCTGTGATGATGGAAATGTGAAATTTGTTCTGGATTCGGCTTTTTTGGAAGGTGGACATGAAAAAGTATACTTTCATCCAATGACCAATGCTGCAACCATGGGATTGAGCCCTGAAGACTTTCTCACATTTGTGAAGGAGACAGGACATGATCCCATAATACTACATTTTGATAAAAACAATTAATTGGGCAAATGTTTATAATAAATTTATTTCTGAAAACTGTTTTTCTTACTTATAATTTATAAAAGGCATTGAAAGCGTTAATATTTAGTATGCTTGGTTTGGTGACTAAATCACTCTAGGAAGAATATGGTATTTCATCTTAAAATAGTTCTTTTTGAGAGTCTTGCTCTGTCACCCTGGCTAGACTACAGTGGTGATATAGCTCACCACTATTACAGTGGTGTCCTGGGCTCAAGTGATCCTCTTGCCTCAACCTCCTAAATAGCTGGAACTGCAGGCGCTTGCCATGGGACCTGGCTAATTCTTCTATTTTTATTTATTTATTTTTTTGAGATAAGCTTCAAGCTATCCCCCTGGGTAGAGTGCTGTGGCTTCACAGCAACCTCCAACTCCTGGGCTCAAGCGAGTCTCCTGCCTCCGCCTCCCAAGTAGCTGGGACCACAGGCACCTGCCACAACGCCGGGCTATTTTTTGGTTGCAGCGATCATTGTTCGGCGGGCCCGGGCTGGATTCAAACCCGCCACCTTAGGTGTATGCGGCTGGCGCCTTAGCCACTTGAGCCACAGGCGCTGAGCCTAATTCTTCTATTTTTAGTAGTGACCAGGTCTCCCTCTTGCTCAGGCTGTTCTCAAATTGCTGAGCGCAAGCAATCCTCCTCCCTCAGCCTTCCAGAGTGTTAGGATTACAGAGAGCCACTATGCTCCTTTTAAAAAGATGCACTGAGGTAGTTTTAGGCATTTCAGAGATTAGCTTCCCATTTCTACGACAATCGCTCATTATAGAAATGACTTCAACAATGCTCTATGAGTAACCACCTTATATCTTTAGGGTACTTCTTGTACTTGAAAAAAGCAAGTTGCAAAATGGTATATAAACCATTATGTGTGACAGTATATGTAACACGGGGGCCGGGGGGGAGGGATCAAAAGAAATATATAGACTTGGTACCTGTAGCTCAACCACTAGGGCGCCAGCTACATACACCAGAACTGGCAGGTTTGAATTCAGCCCAGGCCTGCCAAACAACAATGACAACTACAACAAAAAAATAGCCGGCATCATGGCGGGCACCTATAGTCCCAGCTACTTAGGAGGCTAAAGCAAGAGAATTACTTAAACCCAAGAGTTTGAAGTTGCTGTGAGCTGTGATGCTATTGCACTCTATAGAGGGTGACACAGTGAGACTCTATCTCAGAAAAAAAAAAACACATAGAAATATAAAATATTGTTAGTGGGCTTGGCACCCCCAGCTCAGTGGTTAGGGCGCCAGCCACATGCCCGAGGGCTGATGGGTTGGAACCTGCCCACGGCCTACTAAACAAAAATGACAAGTACAACAAAAAAATAGCCAGGCATTATGGTGGGCGCCTGTAGTCCCAGCTGCTTGAGAGGATGAGGCAAGAGAATTGCTTAAGTCCAAGAATTTGAGGTTGCAGTGAGCTGTGACCTCATGGCACTCTACTGAGGGCGACATAATCTCAGATGGTTTTTGGACTCTGTCTCAAAAACAAATCAACAAAAACTTGATAACCACTCCCAAAAGGAGAAACAGCAGCAGTTCTGCCAAAAGCTGAAAATTAATCAATAAAAATAAATTGTTGATAGTGGTTATTTTGGGGAAGTGGAGATAAAAAATTCTCACAAGCAAGATTTTTTTTTTCTTTTTTTGAGATAGTCTTGCTCCATGCTCTAGGCTAGAGTGCACAATCAACATCACAGCTCATTGCAACCTTGAACTCCTAGGCTCAAGTGATCTTCCTGCCTTAGTCTCTACATGCAGGAAGTACTCTATAGGACTATAGGAAGGTACCACCATACACTAAATTAAAAAAATTTTCTGTAGAGACAGGGTCTTGTACCCAGGCTGGTCTCATAGGCCTCAAGCCATCTTCCTGCTCTGACCTCCCAGGGATTAACAGTTGTGAATGACTGTGCCCAGCCTTGAGCCCCCTCAAGATTCTTAGACCTGGGGGCATGGGTAAAAACTTTATATTATTGGGTGTTTGTTTTTAAACCAGTGAAAAAAACCAGATTTTTCTTTCAGTGAAGAATAAGCTTATCGATCATGTATAAAATCATGTATAAAAACACAGCTTTACAAAATTTTAGTCTAGAAAAGCCACTGGGGTGGAAAATATGTCATACTTAAAACTACATTTTAAAACTCAATTGTGGAATGTACATTTTGCCATTTAAAAGGATTTGTTTAGTCTTTGGAGATTAGAAATGTGAACATACTTGTACAAATTTCTTCTGACTTCTGGGCTTTATTGCCTTTCAATTATGACCTCTGAAACAGTATAAAACCCCAGGAAAATCTAGGGCAGTGGTTCTCAATCTTACTAATGCCGCGGCCCTTTACTCTAGTTCCTGTGGGTTGCGACCCACAGGTTGAGAACCACTGATCTAGGGTAATTTGTCATACAGGAACTATTTCAAAAATCTTACATATTTCTTTCACCTCCCTTAGCGAGGGTGGGGAACTTGTAGCCTTGGTCTTCTTGAGTGTGGCCTTCTGACTAAATCAAAATTTTATAGAATAAATCCTTTAATTATTTTTATTATTTATTTCATTCATTTTTAGAATAAATACTTTTAATAAAAGGATTTCTGTGAACTTTGGATTCAGTTGAGGGGCTGCACTTAGGGATCTGGAGGCCCACATGTGCCCTTGAGACCATAGGTTCTCCTCCCATGTGGACAGTAGTCATGAAATTTCTCCTATTTTCCTCTAGTACAATCAAATGGGATATTCTTTTTTTTGAGACATAGTCTGATTTTGTCCCCCTCGGTAGAGTGCCATAGCTCACAGCAACCTCAAACTTAGGCTTAAGTCATCTTCCTGCCTCAGCCTCTTTAGAAGCTGGGACTATAAGTGCCCGCCACAACACTTGGCTATTATTATTATTTTTTAAGTTTTTGACCTTTATTTCTGATCTTTTCCATTTTACAAGAGAGGTAAGTAGCCAAATGCCCAGATGCTGTCCTGACCTGACCTGACCCGACCCCTATTATTATTATCTTAAGAGATAGGGCTGGTCTTGAAGTGAGCTCAAGCAATCCACTGGCCTCAGCCTCCCAGAGTGCTGGGATTACAGGTATGAGCCACCGCACCACACCTCAAATGGGATATTCTTTAAAGAACATTTTCCTAAGCTGATCACTAAAAAAAAGATTTGCCTTTGGCAGAGACAACTGTGCTTAATTTGTACCAGCATGTGTTACTATAAGGCAAAGTATAATTACCTTATTCTCAAGGTGCCACATTTTTACCTACTCTGTATAGGATCTCTAAGACAAAAAGATAATCTCAGGTTGCTTTGTATATGAAGTCTGTAAGTGAAAATAAGAGATTAATATGTGCATGCTATTAGTTGGTATTTAAACCTATTTTGGGATTGACAGCGTCTCTTCTCTTTTTCCCCAAACCTCTAATACTTATCCCAAAATTAAAACCAAATTAAAATCAAATGAACTAAACAAGGTTATAGGTTATATCTGACAGTAGTTCTCCAGGGCAAAGGGAAAGGATATGTTATTTTTAAATGATAACTAAGCACTTGTTATAAAAATCACCTCTTGGTTTTATTTTTATATCAGTTTGATAAATGAATATTAATTGAACTTAATTTTTTAAGGAGAAACAAAGTTAAAAATGAAAATGAAAAATGTTTTTTAAAAGACAAATCAATCAAACAATGATGTCTCTTTTGTTATGAGTTGGATGCCTGTGGCTGACATCAGGTATTGCCAAGTAATAAACATTTTGCCATTCAACTATAAATCCCTAATTGGCATTAGTTTTAAAGGAAATGTTACAGATTTTATAATATTTGATTTGGTATTTAATAACAGTTGTAAGTACAATAGCAAACATTGAAAAAGAAAACCCTTAGTAGAAAAGAAAAAGAATTTAAAGTCAGGTTTTGTTGAGGGTGTTGTAAGTGCAACTTTATCCATAAGCATTCCTTTTAAGGCATTTTCATTATCCAAATATCACAACATGTACATCAAGGTTTATATTATAAAATGGGCTCCTTTTGTATTACTCATTCAAGGCTTAAAGAAAAAAATACACCTCAGGATTAAGGGTAGCTGAAAAGAAAAACAGAAATTAACCACTTTTCCATAAAATGTAACTTAAGACACAAATGTCAATTAGCACACATTATTACTCCGCATTGCAGATTAGGTACAGTATCTTCTTCTCTTCCAGACATAAACTGTTAAAACAGCACAAGCTGTAGTACTTCATTTTTGAGGTGGCTGCAGTTGTATAATATGCACAGTGATTTTTAAATAGGCTCGTACCATGTCTTGCATGAAAGGTGCTACATACAAATGTGTTTTGAGAACTCTTTGGTAACCACCAATTCAAAAACTTGGACAAAACATTTCCACATGGCCAGATCTGAAGCACATTATTGTAGCTCTGGGCCAAAGCTATTACCCTGTATACTGACGTCTTCAGTTTTCTTGGGGGTTTAGGTGTTGCTTTAGAATAGAGGCAGATAATTAAACGCATGCCAGGCTCCAGTCAGTTTCCAATTAGCTTTACTATTTTGTTTGGCAGTAGCAGAAGTTTATCTAAGGGAAAAGAGTGGCTTCTTATGAAGTTTCCTTCTGAAGGTATCTTGGAGAAAATAAAATGTTCATGTGGTTATTATCTAGTCCTTTCTTGAAATGGTATGAAAAAAGTGATGAATATAATTGAAGAGAATTTGTATTTTTGCAGTCTCAATGTATTCCTTGGTTGTCTTAATTATCCTTTCTCAGAGTCAACCTACTTAGTTTCAGTATTTTACAGGCTATCCTTCAACATTTTCTACGTAAGTATTAATATGCTTACCTCAGCAGGTTCACTATTTTAGAATATTAGTGTCCTGGAGAGGTAAGCTGTGTTATCATTCCCCTTCATTGGGCCTCCTTGCGCTTATTAAATTTCAACTTTCAGTAATTGTTCTGGATGTATCCTAATTGTGCAAATTAGATGCTAGCTAATACAAATCTAAGTTACCTACCTTATTTAGCTAATACATAATTTCTACATTTACTTTTGATTTATCCACCTAAAAATGAATTTACATTTTTACATGCAGTGGTCTCTCAATTGCTCTGATACCCATTACCAATATGATACTTGAATCCAGGGAGTCATGATGGAGAGAAAGATGTTTCAAAGTTTAAAGAATAGGTTTTAAGTATTTCTGTTGTGCAATATTTGTATTTTAGTAAGAATCCTTTGAATTTACATTTACATAGATAGCACCTTTCATCCAAGAGCTTCAAGATTTTTAACTTTACAGCATTTGGTGGTAAAACCTCAGTTAATGGTGGAATTGAGTTAAATAACTAAAAGTTATCTAACTTCCACGTCAATTTCTGGTCAACTAAACATGCTATCTCTCCTTTCTACTGGTGGTCTTTTGGAAAGCAGATTATGAATGCACATTGATACTGGCCTGTAGAGAGAGACTGACTTTTCCCATGGCTAATGGGTTAGTGATGAAACACACAATTCATTAACCACACACTATGGAATATGGAAATAATTATTCCAAAAAGTTTTGAGCTGGTAACGAAAGCCTAAGAAGTGTACTGTTAAAATAAAAAATAGTCAACATCTTTTTCATTTTAGACCTTAGAGATTACTCTGATATGTATGTGAAATAACGAATTTGCATTCATGAGTTATCAATGCATTTTTCTGGATTTGATAAGAAAATAAAACTGTGATATAAAATTGGAACTACTAAAAAATTGATGTTTCCCTGGATTAACTAAAACTACTTTTTTGTGCTTCTTCCAAATGTTTAAAGGTAACAAATGTGTACAAATATTTCAAAAGTACCAATAACAGTTATCAACTTTAATGTATTATAAAGGACAAAAACAGAAAAATTCTTATTAATAAAAATGATAACCTTAATAATAAATGAGCTCCTGGCAAAATGCAGATTATAGTAAATTATTTACATTATTTTTGCCATAAGAAAACTTCTTAAGCAACAGTCAGCTCTCAAGTTAAAAACAAACACACATCCATAACCCAATACCAAAAAAGGGAAATGAGTTAAAACAGAAGAGCTTTATACTGGGAATGCCATTTGCTGGAAAACCATCTTACTAAAAAATGTTTCAGAAAAACACTTTAATTACCTTGGATCCATGTATGAATGCTTAGTGCTGCTTAATAGGGAATATGGAAAGATTAATATCACTATAAATTTTTATAACTTCTATTTCATTATGGATCTTTTAGATTTATCTTATAAACTGAATTTCTTCTGAAGTACATCAAAATAATTGGCTTTAAGGGAAAAAAAAGTACCAACACATGCAGTCTGCTAACCAAGTAAGGCTCTGACATGCCAAAACAATTTTCTCTGTATCTTGATATATAGTACATTCCACAAAATACTACAGCATTTAATTTAGATTTACACAACTAAATATAAATGGCTAGATTTGGGCTAATATTTAGCAGAAGCATTAAGCAAACAGATAAATCCATGAAACAAATGATGAAAAAAAGTAGATTGTTCTTGGTGTACTTCTTGGAACACTTGACCTTAAAACACTTGGTCCTTAGCGAGAGAATGTCCTTTATTCAGTAGATCTTAACAGTACAATGTATAGTAAGGGCTAAAACCTTCTAAAAATTTTGGCAGCTGAATCCAGTAGTGCTCCTTGATTCAAGGAAGAAATGAAGGTTTGTATTTCTTGCCTGCTCTATTCACGAAGGATTGTTAAAAGTCTCCTTAAAGATTTTTAAAAATGATTCCTATAGTTGCTAGGTGTCTTGTTACTTCAGAAATAAAGGCTTCATATTGAGAAACTGAAGGACACTTTTCTCTCTGTATTTAGTTGGAAGGTAGAAAGAAGAAAGAAAATATAAGAAAAGCTTGAAGATAAGAGAGAGATAAAATACAGGGTAGCCACTCTAAGAACAGCATGCACCAGACATTTCTATGGGAATGAGAGTGTAACAGAAAAATCAGAGACAATTTTTCTTTGAGTGGCTCTTCAATACCAGGCATTTAATTTATTCCCATCAATTATTGAGAAAATTTTGGGGAACCTGTATTCCTATCACAAAGAGGCTTCAAACTGAAAAGAGGAATTTCTTGAACATTACTCAGTAGTCAAATGAAATTTAAACTGAGAAAAAAATAATTTTAAAAGATTTGTTTTCTGCACAGGTAAAACTTATTGCAATCCACTAATCTTGCTTTACTAATAAGTAGGACAGAATGTCAATGAATTAAGCAAGCATTATTTACAACTGTTAATGCAATGTGCATTTGTTCTCATACTTAATTTGGTTAGTTTATATAAATGAGACAAATCTCATTTACACTTTAAGCAGGAAACTCACCACTTGGCCCACATGTCATGTAGTGGGATAAAAGAATTAGGAGCTTTGTTGCTCCCTTGACCTGCTTTTTGAATTTCTGCTTTCTTGTACTTTGTCCACATCTGCAGGAGAAAAGCATTTCATGTTACTTAATCAAAAGTTAAACATAATACAATTCATGAAGATAAGAAACTAAAGAGCTGTCACTGAGTAGGGCAATGAGAAGGCAGCTGTAACTAGGAAATTTATTAATCTGATAGACGTCTCAATATTTAAAGACTGATTATAAAGCCATAAGTAATATTCTTAGGAAAGCTTTAACTTTTTAAAAAGTCTATAATATATTTTACCCTCTTACTATCATATAGGCTTACTTAAAATTAGTATGTTTATTTACTAAATAGTCACCATACAGTTGTTTTTTGTTTTTTTGTTTAGAGACAGAGTCTCACTTTGTTGCCCTTGGTAGAGTGCTGTGGTGGCACAGCTCACAGCAACCTCCAACTCCTGGGCTTAGGCGATTCTCTTGCCTCAGCCTCCCAAGTAGCTGCGACTACCGGCGTCACAACGCCCAGGTATTTTTTTGTTGCAGTTTGGCTGGGGCCAGGTTCAAACCCGCCCTCCTTGTTATATGGGACCAGCACCCTATTCACTGAGCCACAGGCGCCACCCCACCATACAGTTTTAAAATAAAAATAATCTTGCATGGAGCAGCAGAAACATCTGGCATGAAATATTTGTATTATTTACTAAGAAAACCAGGGCTAAGCAGTGTTTTATAGGAAAATAATATACCTACTTTACATTGATTATAGCTAAAATTGCTCTGATTAAAGAAGACTCAACGCATGAGAATATGTTTACAATGTTACACACAAATCATACAGGTATAATTTCTAGAAGCTAGGTCAGGAATATTGAAACCTGTTTAGTTTCATCTTAAGTAAAATTAGGGTACTAAATGTTCAGATTAGCTTTTCAAATCATTTGTGAAGCTGTAGGATATTTATGCAGGTATCTTAGAGGAAATAAGTGCAGTGGCTTGAGTTAGAGTGGCTTTACTTTTATCTTAAAGATTTCATTTGTTTTAATTTTGGGCATCTGTGTAAGATTTCATTTACAGAAAGTATTATGGTGACTTTTTTAAATGTTTGGGTAACACTGGTTCCATATGACTTCTAAGGTTTTTGCTACTGATAAAAATTTGATTCCAGGAGCTATGAAAAAATATAGGTAACAAACTGGGTTGTTTCAGGGGGGAACTTTATGATTCCCCAACAGGTGTGGTTTCTGGAGGAAGTGTAGACCCTATTCTTGGTCAGTCCTGAGCACATATGGACATGATATGTATCTGTCTTACATACAGACATATACTTTTTGAAAACATGCTGTATATAATACCTGTAGCCATTTGAGTAGAAAATATTTCTTTTCTTTAATTCTAATTCTGTAAATAATCACTTGGTTTTTAATATAAGTGTGATTTTTCAATGTATTTTGAATGAATATAGTTAATATTTTAAACATAAAGTGTTATGGCCAGATTTATGGTATCTAAAAGATTGAAACAGCTGTGAAATAATTTTTGACTCAATATGGAAAATTAAATAATACTAATAATTGACATTTGTGTCATATATGGCCCCCATCCAATCTGAGCTGTATCTACCATTATATTTTACTATTAAGTCATGGAAAAAGAAAGAGAGAACATTAGCACCAAAAATATTTATAATGTTAGGACTGAGCAACAATTGACAATAAAATAGAATGATGTATTCGTGCAGAAAGTACATTAAGTCGTACTAAAAAATATGAAAACTTTCTGACTTGTGTTCATTACCTGCACTAGCACCATTTTCAGTAACAGCTATAAGGAAAAAAGTGTGGTCAAAGTCATAAACAGAAGGGGCCTACTCTCCAAAATATCTTGTGTCAGTATAAGAGGATACCTTAATCTACAAAGGGTACAAATTTCATTAAGGAAAGAGTCTGTAGAGAATTTTTCTTTGGTTCAATTAATACTAAGAACATAATATAATAACAAGTATAAAATAATAATTTTCTTCTCCCCACTTAGAAGTCACATTTCAAGACATTCCTTCAAGTGCCAGGCTGAGTTATCAGCAATATTCAGGCTGAATCAGATGGCAAAACATTTCTAAGATAGAGCTAAGACACACTCCTCCAGAAGTAAGTAAATCAAGGTTATACTTTTTTTTTTTTTAATATTCTGGAAGTTGGAGATTCAAATTTAGCTGATTTGCTTTAAAAGTGTTATGAACACAGAAGGTCATTTAAAATTTCATGACACTGGAATTAGCAAATATTTTCTCTGTCTTTTATATATTAGCCAAAGAGAGTTTGTATTTATAATCTAAAACTTATTCTACTAAAAGCATACTTTTTTGTTTATTTAAATGGTTACATGCCCTAATTTTACATTTTAGCACAGTATATTTTTTAAAATTCTGCTTTAAGGATATACATATATATATATATAATTTAATATTTATAGAAGTAACAATTTTCACCATTTTGTAGACTTGCTACCATTTTGGAATAGAAGTAAAAATAAAGATTTTCAACACAATGAATATGATTTGGTTTATTTCTTTTTGACTATAAAAGAAAGAACTAAAAAAACTATTATTAACTGCTTCCAAGTAAGTCATCTTGAAGGAAAGAACCCTTGTATTGATCGGATGAAGGAAAGTTACAAAGAAAAAGAATTAATGCAAATGCTCTTAGGCACTGTATAAATCACATTTAAATCTGATGAGGTTTTCTAGGAATAACACTAAATTTGTGAGTATTGACAATGTTTTAAATCTGAACAATGTTTTATAAATATGGGCATTAGTTAATATTTGCTATATAGTGTTAAACTGAATTATTAACTATTTCTTTGAAAATAAAACAGGACAGATTACATAATTAAATGGCAAAAGACAATGACATCTTATATATTTTCCTCACTAATACTGTACATGTGCAATATAAAGTATACATTCTGCGGAAAACAAACAGAGAGGAAGAATAAGAGAGGGGGAAGGGGAGGAAAAGAAGAAAATGAACATTCTTTCTCAGAAGCAACAAAGCAAATATGACTTGGAAATGCCTTCTTGGTAAGGTAGCATGCAACGGTTTTAACATGCTTTTGGATATCAAAGTAACAGTCTTTTATCAGGTGACAAAAAATGAGAGAGAAGAGCATGTATGGTTAAGGTTTTTCAAGGCATGCAGAAAATGTACAATGCAATTAATATTTCATGCAGGCTTTCATGTGGTTACACATTCATATTTATATACATGCCATCATGTACAGGTAAACACTATGCAACAATTTAAAAAAATATATAAACCTAGCCAAACGACACATTTCAACGGCAGCTCTTCAAATCAGATTAGAGAAGCACAATGTATATTAAACAACATGATGTATTATATTGTGCAGTTTTGATCACACACAACCATATTCATACCAAACAGTCTGATTATCCTCAGAAACCAACAATGCAGTTTCTGTGTCATCAGGATAGAGGCATGCAGGAGTGACAAGATTATTGGTATTTACATTAAACTGTGCATTACTGCCACTGGAGTTATGATTATCAGAAAACTGTTCGTTATCTTTTTGTGCAGCTTTATCCAAAGAGGCAGAAGCTGGGTCAGTTACTCTGGTGACTGGCCTGGGAGTTAACCCACTTATATTACTAACTAATTCTGTATTCAGGGATAAAAATGGCTGAGATGGATGAGCTACAGTAAATGACCCTATGCTATTCTTTGCTGATATTCCAAACGCATCACTAGGTGCATTAAAAGTAGCAAAAGTTTGGTTTAGAAAATGTGACCTTTTTGTTCTTGAGTTTCTCGCCTGTGCAGATAGAGACTCAGGCACACCTGTAGCTAAGTCATTTTGGGCGCAAGAACCTAGACCATATGCTGAAACATTAAGTGCATGAGAGGACCACTGGTGTAAACGGTACTCACTAGAAGCTGCAGTGGTGCTATCAGCAGCAGCTGGTGGTGAATCAACTGATACAGGCAGTCTACTGTCCTTAGTCAGAAAATCATGGATGCTTGTCCTTCGTGTAGTTCCTTCGGCAGTAGAGATCACACTGCTTGCACGAGGTAAAGTGGCATAAGGGTTACTATCTTTTGATTGTCGTGACAGGGGAGTTTCTTTTACCAATTTTTTCTTTCCTTGAGTGCCTGGTGTAGTTTTTCCTGCAGAACTAATGAAGTGGGTTTCTTCAGTCTTTCGAGGACCAGGTCTCACAAACTCAGGCTTAGTTGTCCGTCTATCATAGAAGTCCCCTGGGGTTTTTCCACTTACTGACCTGGCCAGACCACAGCTAACTGGTTTGTCTTTTCCCAAAAAGTCAGAAGAGACAGACAAACTTTTCATTACTTCATCTAAAAGATTCTCTTGACTTGAGGACTTCAACTGTTTAAAAAAAAAAAAGTCCATTAATGAATATAACCATGCTTTTATTTTTCTGACATAGTAGACTTTATGATATAAAATAGCTGATATTTCAGGGGTTTTTTAGTGTTTTTTTTTTTTATTCTTTTTTTAGAGACAGAGTCTCAGTTTGTCACCCTCGGTTGAATGTCAGCATCACAGCTCACAGCAATCTCCAGCTCCTGGGCTTAGGTGATTCTCTTGTCTAAGCCTCCCAAGTAGCTGGGATTACAAGCACCCGCCACAATGCCCGGCTATTTTTTTTGTTATTGTTCCAGTTTGGCCGGCTGGATTCAAACTGCCCACCCTTGGTATATGGGGCCAGTGCCCTACTCACTGAGCCACAGGTGCCACCCAAGAGCTGTTATTTCTTCTTCTTTTTTTTTTTTTTTTTGAGACAGAGCCTCAAGCTGTCCCCCTGGGTAGAGTCCTGTGGCATCACAGCTCACAGTAACCTCCAACTCCTGGGCTCAAGCGAGTCTCCTGCCTCCGCCTCCCAAGTAGCTGGGACCATAGGCGCCTGCCACAACGCCTGGATATATTTTTGGTTGCAGCCTTCATTGTTGTTTGGCGGGCCGGGGCTGGATTCGAACCTACCACCTCAGGTGTATGTGGCTGGTGCCTTAACCACTTGAGCCACAGGCACCGAGCCGAGCTGTTATTTCTTAACACTTCTTAACTAAATAAAGCTATAAAGTTCAATCACAGACATTTAACTTCAGGTGTTCACCTAAATTAAGGTCACCATAGATAAAACAAACCTGTATTGAGGTAAGCTTGTTGCTTTCTTCCAAAAATTGTTGGAGAGTAACAATTTCACTTCCAGGGGACCCAGTTTTGATCTTGTGATGTGCTTGACTCTCTGATGTTTCAGGCATTTTGTGCTGGAGCACTGGACTTGATCTGGTCTGTCTTTTCAAGTACTGGATTGGACTGCTACCACTGCTGGACCAAGCCTCATGATCATGAAGCAGGCTAAACTCTCCACTGCTGTGGCTTTGTGGCCTGCTTTGGCTATTAACTGCACCTGCTTTTGGAGTAAATGGTGTTGAGATTTCAATAAGAGAAATGAGAGTAATACTATATAATGTTTGTTGACAGCATTCTTATTTACATGAATAGGGCAACTTATTTTCAAACTTTATTTAGAAATTCTTAGAAACCATGTTATTCTTTCATCAGTCCAACAACCGTCTGCCATAACCTGCTTCCTTGTTTTGTCAAACTGACAAATACTGTAAGCGCCAGCCGGCAAAGACTTGCTTTTACCACCATACCCAGAGCCTCATACAAAGCAGACACTTAATGCATTTGATGAGTAAATGAATGAATAAATGACTATGAATAATACATTTTTTAAAATTCAGGTTCAAATAATTATAAGACACTTCACAATTCAGAACAAAACACGATTATATGAATTTAAAATTATTTTAGAATGTTAAAACCAAACTGGTCTAAAGATAAAAAAATTAAATTCTAATTTTTTGTCCATGAAGTCCTCATTATTTGAGGGTTTCTCTGTTAATCCTAAATGAATAACCTTAAAAAATTGTTTTTTAGGGTTGGTGCCTGTAGCACAGTGGTTATATACACCCAGGCTGGTGGGTTCAAACCTGGTCCAGGCCAGCTAAACAGTTATGAGAACTGCAACAAAAAAAATAGCTGGGTGTTCTGGCAGGCACCTACGGTCCCAGCTACTTGGGAGGCTGAGGCAAAAGAATCGCTTAAGCCCAAGAGTCTGAGGTAGCTGTCAGCTGCGACTCCATGGCATTCTACCGAGGGCAACATAGTGAGAGACTGTCTCAAAAACAAAAACAAAAATGTTTTTTAAATCTAATAGTACACATACATATATGGAATGTCAAAGAAAAACACAATGCAATTACACAAGAAATTCCAGTAAAAGAATAAAACTGAATATGTAATATTCTTTTTATTCAATGTCTGAAACATCTAATTGTTCCTGATGTCCATTGTTAGTATGGTGCCTACACAGCCTTAAAGACTGAGTTGAGGTTGAATGACCATATAAAATGCCAATTAGCTAGTTGTAGAATAAAACTCCCTAAACTCTATGCTATTAGTTAACAGAACTGATTTGTTTTGATCAATAGCAAACTGTACATCATGACAGAAAACACAGCTTTCCATGTTTTCATAATCACAGGGTGAAGTGGGTCATGGATGAATTTTGCTCAAGTTAGGTAACATTTTATGGAAATACAACTGTCAAACTTTCAAATCAGAAAAAAAACTTCCTATTTTTAGAATATACTTTTCTACTGTATATAGACTTTGATTATAAAAATTTTTTAAATCTCCTCCTCAGAAATCAGGTATTTCAGATCACTGCAACAAAATTGTAGTGTTTATGATAAAATAAAATTATAGCTGAGACAAACTAACTTCATAATCCAGAAAGCATTAGAACAAATGCATTCATTATGATTTAACAGTTGGACTACAGAGAATAACTATAATATATTGGCTACATAATTCCAGAATGTAAGTAGGTAATTTATCTTTAAGGAAAAAGGTTTCAGTCAAGATCTCCAGACATTTACAATAAAAACCTCACCTTAAAATACATATTGAAAATAAAAAATCACGAAATAATTCTTTATATGAGCTATATACATTCATATAGCTCTTGTTCAACACACACATACACACACACAATTGCTTCTCAGAAGCAAAAAGCTTCCTTTTATTTTGTGGATAAATTAAGGTAAAAGTACGTATAAAATATGATTAATGCTTGTTCAATGTACATGCATCATGAGAAAGTTAAGGACAACCATTTTTATGTCAAAGACAAAAATGTAAGTAAAATAAGGACCTATAGATAATTTTGAAGTATAAAGATTACAATAAGATTTTTATAAGTGAAGATGAAAAACTGAAACCAAAATAACTGCTCCTGTTTTTACATTTGTATACACTAAAATACGTTTGTGTAACAATGTGGAAAGTATAAAATGTTCCAAAGAACTATGTTCCAAACATAAATGATTTGGATTTCATACTTTACCCCAGGAATTTCATCCCATCTCCCACTTTTTAACATTGGAAATGGATGGAGTACGTTAATAAATGTACCTACAGCATACCTTTGACTTCATGGAGTGAAGCATTATTATTGCTATTGCTAGTGGATGTTCTGCCACTATCAAGGCTGGCTGGTCTTGAAGCTAAATGAAAAAATCAGGAGACAGTGTGATAAAACTAGCGGATGACACTGATGGCCTGTACATTCTGATCACAGAATGCTTTGAGGAAGCAATCATGCATCCTTTCACAGGCTGAGCATGCCCAGAGAGTTGACTCTTACAGATAACAAAGCAAAGCCATCTCCAGATAGTTCAGTTAGACATTTTAGAACAGGACACTTCTGAAACAACAGTCAAGAGTCAAAGAAAAGAGGATAAAGTGCATGTTTAGATTTGAAAATGATTTCTAGATGGATACTGGGACTGTTTTAGTTGAACAGAATAACATGTCCTCCCAGTCCCCCCAAAATGCTAGTGATTAGGTCACTTACAACAGATCATACAAGGAAACCTGCACACTGCAGAGATGCCACGAAGAGGATGGATATGAGCACCTGCACAGATAATGGCCTGCATTCCTATCCATACAAAGGAAACAATTGTACAGTTAACACTGACCTAGGCTACTTTTTAAAATGCTGCTTATATATATATAATTCTTCAACATGTTATCCATTTATTGTTAGTAATTTAGTTTGAAAGATAGGGTTTTTCAGATGAAAATTTAAAAATCTGAAATAACATTGTAGAAAATAAAAACTGAGTTTCTTAAAGTTCATTCTTTAATTTTTAGTATTTTTAAACCAATATATTTTTATATTGGTATTATAAACCAATAAATGTAACTCTTTAACCTTATACAAAAATGGTAACAAAATTACCTTTGAGGATTGTGCAGGCATACTTTATAAATGACCTTGACTAAAACAGAGAACATTTAGATGAAGCAGTCATCTTAAAAGAGGCAAAAGGGATTAGAAGTTTGAAGAAATGGTAGCGCTAACTATGAGTTGCAGGATAGAGAAAACATGCTTGCTGGCAATGCCACATTCAACTAGCCAATGCAAGAATTTTAGCATTTTCATTCTGTCTTAAATGTGTACTCTCTAAATAAAGTTCGTATCTTACCATGAACTCTTGATCCCGTACTAGAATCATCACTAATACCTTGTGGACTTACGTCTTCAAAGGATGTAGTATCTACACAAAATAGCAAAATGGATATAAAAATATTTTTGTAACAAAACATTCCATTATAAAATTTTATTTATGCAGAATATGGAAATTATTTTTCAATCATATATAATACATCTTGATTTAACATATTCATAGACTCAACCAGAAACTGGAACCAGGAATATGAACAGAGTAACTCTTTTTTTTTTTTTTTTTTTT